GTTTGAGATCTTTTTGTCTGAAGACAAATACCCATATCAGAATATAACACCTATCAAATGACTGGTCTGTGCAGCAAATATTTACCATCCCACCCGATGTGCGGATTAAATTCTACTTGTTATCATTCAGGAACTGATTTTCGAACTTCCTGTAAAAAAAGTCAAACTATAGCTCTTAGCATCCAGAAATATTTCATGCACATATAGAGTACCTATTTCTCTATTATTAGTCTGTTCCTCAACAATATATATTCTTATTCTCTATACGGACATTTTCGATATTGCAAGGATTGCAAGGATATATATATCAGTAAAACGTGTCCTATCAGCATTAATCCTACCAGGAAACATGATATTCGATATTATTGCCCTTGATGTGGGCAAGGTAAAGGTCGGATTATTCAACATCACTCAACACATGCGAAAAGCCTGTTGATAATTTGTATATACCTAGTTTTACCTACCTGGGGCACCATCGGGTGGGCCGCCAGGAATGGAGAGCAAAATAAAATAACGAGTGGTCATTTTAGGGGTGACTTGTGATTTTGATTTTGTTTTGATTTATAAATCTTTTATCAGATTTATATTGACACGAAAGCTTCGGATTGATAGGGACGCAAATACCTGAAAAATACAGGGAGAACTTCGACGTTTCGAGTGAAGCTCTTCGTTGATACGTTAGTGATGCGGCCTATTTAGAGAGCGATTGATATATACACCTTAGTTTAAAAATGAGTAAAAGAGCAATCCGAATATTTTTATACCACACATACTTTATGAAATTTTAAAATTATGAACCATCATAAAAACTCGTTAAATGCTTCCATTATAATTTTAATGCCATATTTATCTCAACGCACTCGCACAAAGAACGTTCATGATTTAATGTGAATAGATTAAAATTACATACGCAGCTGCTCGATTGGACGATCTCAGTTCGCAGGCACTGTGCATGCATGCATGCATGCGTCTAACACGTTTTCATCATGCGCCACATCCAATAATGAGGATGCATTTGAGAAGCTTAATTAATTTTTCTTCCAAATATATAGGCCTGTACTTGAGTGTATCAATATTTGTCGGAAAGATAATAAACGGAACACTTTTTAATTCTTATTGTATGCAGTGTTCGTGCTAAAATTAAATTACTCAGATTTTGGAGTCTTCAGTTCGTTGTTTTGTTTTCGTATATTTATATCCAGTAGCTATAGTTCGTTGCATGGAAAAAGAAACAAGTCAGTAGGCAAACACAGATTAAGTGCTATTTAGACAATTTAGTGATGTAGGCAAGTAAAGTTTATTCTGGCAGTTTAATTAAGTCCATTATAGTCCGACTTGCTCTCGCTTTGTCCAAATACGATAATAATGAGCTTAATAAGCAAGCGATGTTTTTGTCAACACGGTCGCTAATAATAGGATGGAAATAGTTTCTCAAACTGAAAGTTTGGAAGCTATTTATTCTGAATAATAGTTTTAAACATGCCGTAGACAAAAACATTCCGCGAAGCATTTAAAATTCTTTAAGGAATTTATTATTCACATACAATATTCTATAGACATGTTGACGTTGTTTCGCTTTGCCGCGTCGAAGACTCGAGATGAGAGGCGGGATAATGTGATGTATTGAAATAAGTCACGCGGTTCATATTTTTCCGTTGAGCCTATATAGTGACTTATTTCAAATACATCAAAATTATCCCCGCCTTCCATTCTTCCCACTCCAGCTTGCCGCCCTTGTTTGGCTTTCATTAAAAAATTAAAGAAATGATAGTTTATGATATATTCTTCCAATCATTCAAATCCAGTGATGATTCAAGAGAAGGCTTTACTAATTTTACTTTTTTTGTCGTTTATATATTGCATGCCTTCTTAATTTATTTTAAAAGGTTTCGCATGTGTGTTTCGCATCGCTTTTTGTGCAAAAATGTAACCCAAGGTCAAGGCCAAGGGCAAGTATTAATGTTGTATGCTTAAGTCCTAATATGCTTGAAGGGAACCAGATTTTTACGCCAGGGGTCTTTAGTGCTTCGGAATGGAGGCTACGGAATGGGTGTCATCCATGCGTCTGCGCTGTTAGTAAACAATCATGCATTTAATCGAAAACACCTTCTGGATATTTTTTCACGACACATGCCACGTGATCTATATTTTGATCTCAATTTCGATATTATCCTCGAAATTGGTTTTTTTTTTAAATCAATAACTCACGTTGCAGCAACATTTTGGGACGTGATATACAATATATATGCATACTTTTGTGACATCGCGTGCATGATATTATCGAAGGGGTCAAATATGGAAATAATTCATCCACAAATAACTGATTCCTTTCAGTGAATATTGCTAGGTATCATGTATTCCTATTTTAATATTGATATTTAAATTTAACAGACTGATCAGCAGTTATCTCTGATTGACTTTCATCTGCATCAGAGTTGCACTTGAAAATATTGCTTGCAGTTGTTCTCATTTTTTATTAATCTATACTTTTCATCAAAATAATGATATCTTTCATTGGATTTGGCACCAACATGGCCACCATTTTATTGTTTTTCAATTCTCAATAGACTGGCATATTGCAAGTGAAAAATCGATACGTGATCGATTCATTGTTTTTTGTGTATTAATCGCCCTTTGTGTATTAATTGCCCATGGAATTTTGAGAGGCATGCCATTTCTTGCCAGGAATTTTCAAACAGTCATCCTTCTAAGGTGTGGAACTGTCGTGGCGTGTAGCCTGATTACGTCATGCACATTTCCGACCATACTTTGCTGACAGGCGATCCATGCCCGCCTCTTCAATGTAAATACAAAAAAATCCAGCCGAAAAACGAAAGATCGCCCATTTGTACATGTTCTGGAGATAAAACAAATCGAACAATCGATTGCCCGCCCATTACCTTTTACCACATTTACTAATAGATTTAAGACAGTAAAACATGAACAAGAAAGTAAAAAATCCAGGTCGAACTCATATGAACCTCATCACTAATATGACTATTAATATCTCACATCTTTTAATTTAAATTATTTTTAAAAATGTATAAATGGCTACA